ATACTAACAAAGATTCATCCAAAATTTCTCTTCTATTTCGGCTCCATTGACATCCCTGACCAAAAAGTGAGTTGTCTATACTTGGAGCGAGAAGCAAGAAAGAGATTTTGGTGAATTGAAGAAAAGATTGTGTGATGCACCAATCCTCGTCCTACCAGGAACTGAAGATTTCACAGTTTAAAATGACGCTTTCTAAGATTGTATTGGGATGTGTCCTTACCCAAAGGTACAAAGTAGTAGCTTACGCCTCAAGACAACTAAAACTCCACGTACAGAATTGTCCAACTCATGATCTAGATCTTGCAGCAGTGGTTTCCGCCCTAAAGATACGGAGGCATTATCTTTATGGAACCAAATTTAAACTCTATGCGGATCATAAGAGCCTCCAATATCTCTTTGCTTATAAGGAGTTGAATATGAGACAAAGGCGATATATGGAGCTACTAAAGAACTACGATTGCGAGATACTTTACCACCCAGGTAAAGCAAATATCATAGGTGATTCCTTGAGTAGAAAGGTGATTCCTGAAGGAAAGAGTGCTAGATCGTTGAAGATTGAAGTAATCTCAACAATTATAGAGAAAGATCAAAGATGCACAAACAAGGGCTCTGGCTGAGAGTGATCTGAAGGAGGAACGTCTAGGCAATACGTTAATGCTTAAAGAAGAAAAATAAGGGTTGAAGACGTTTAAGAATCTCATTTAGGTGCCAAAGATGGTTGGGATACGAGATCTTCTCATGGAAGAATCTCAGAAGACTATGTATTTTATTCACCCAGGTAGCACCAAAATGTACTTAAACTTGAAGCCCTGTTATTGTTGGCCGACAATGAAGGTTGACATAACAACTTACATAGCAGAATGCGTAACTTTTTCGAGAGTGTGCACAACATCAAAATCAATATGGGAGTCTGGAACCCTCACCAACACCCATAGGGAAATGGGATGATGTTACCATGGACTTCATAACAAATTTGCCGAAGAGAAAGAGAGGTCACGACATGATATGGGTTGTAGTAGACCGACTTACAAAGAGTGTGTATTTCATAGTTGTACGGGAGAATTGGTCTATGCAGAATTTAGCAGAGACCTATGTAAGGGAAATCCTAAGGATTCATGGAGTACCCTTATCTATCATGTCAGACAGGAATAGTAGATTCACCTTGAGATTTTGGAAAATTCTGCAAGAAGAGTTAGGCACGAAGTTGTGTTTGAGTACTGCCAATCATCCACAAACAAACAGATGGAGTTCGAGAGCTATCCAAACCTTGGAGAATATGTTGCGGGCATGCACTTTAGAGTTTTCGGGTAGCTGGAATGACTATCTATCCTTGTCTGAATTTGCCTACAACAATAGTTATCACTCAAGCATCAAGATGCCTCCCTACAAAGCACTATATGGAAGGAAGTGTTGAAAGTTGTCGTATTGGCTAGAAGCGGGAGAGAAGCATTTTGCAGGTTCGGATATAGTACATCAAAGCACTGAAAAGCATAAAGTCGTTAGGGAAAGGATTTTAGCTGCCTACAGTCATCAAAAGAGCTACGAATATAAGAAAGGACGACCGATAACATTTGATGTGGGTGATCAAGTGTTACTTAAATTCTCGCCATGGAAGGGACTTATTAGATTCAGAAAGTGTGGGAAGTAGAGTCTTCGTTATGTAGGACCATTCAAAGTACTTCAAAGGATAGGGAATCAAGCTTACAAGCTTGAATTGTTCGCCGAACTAACAGGTATCCATAATACCTTTCACGTTTGCTATTTCAGGAAGTACTCGTGAGAAGAAACAGATATGCTTCCATTTTCAGAGTTAAGGATCAATGATGATAGGCGACTGGTTTAAGAGCCTGTATAAATCATCGACCGTAAGACAAAGAAGTTACGCCATAAGATGATTGACTTAGTGATAGTGTGATGGAAACACCCAAAAAGGTTAAATCTCACATGGGAAACAGAAAGTGACATAAAGAATCGCTATCCACATTTGTTTGTTGACGCATGATTCCAGCACGAAATCATCCTAAGGGAAAGAGAATTGTAACACCCGCATTTCCAGCTAGGCTTAGTTATCAAACATGTAATCTTTGTGGTCAAGTCATGTAGTCATTTTGTGAATGAATAAGATAGGATTATTCATATATTTTGTACTTATGTGTTTTATATGATATTAAGATATATTATATAATAAAATAAACAAGATCTAAAATACACGTCAAAATAAAAGATCACTTGGGGAAAATAATCTCAATCTAGTTATATTATTCGTTATTAGGATCCCGTACATATCTAGAATGCCTCAATTTGACTAAGAACGAAGGAGTTAGGAAGCGCTAAAGTCTCCTGATAAAACCGACATGGCTGTAGATAGCGTAAAAAGTGAATCTGGGTTAGATTGCTTTTTTTAGCTTTAGAAGTCTACACATAATTCATAGATGTTGTAAAAGCGAACTTGTGCGTATAAGTCCTGTCTAAATCTGACTTCACTAGAGGAAGTTATTATTTTTCTAAAATTCGACGCAACAATATGTGCACCAATATCGAATTTTAGATCGATTGATTGTTAGCCAAAACAATCTAACGAGAGTTTAAGATCTTGTTGTTAGGATTCCTACGATATAAAAATCATCGAGAACGACGCCGGATGTGAGAGTTATGCATTTTATATGGGCTTTAATATGCTAAGCCTGTGTAAATAAAATAAAGTAAAAATTAGCCGACAGATTCTAAAGTAAAGTTGTAGATCTCATCGACAGCTTTCCATGGATATAAAGAACTTCAAAAACGGAGTTCGTATGAAGGAGCCATGCAATTTTGAAAATCTGGAAAATGCCGCACGTGCACGCGCGTCGCGTGTAGCTTACACGCCAAGTCAGCCACGTAGCCCCACCCAGATCATGCCATGTGTCGGTAGCCCAGTAGATCGACATCACTCTTATGCTCAATGTGCCTCGTATTACACGGCGTGCAAGACTCTAAAGTCACCTATTAATACCAACTCATTCTTTCACTCCTTCCCACACCCTCCAGACGATATATCTTTGAAATTTTTTATAGTTAGCTCGTTTTTCTTCATTCTAGCCTACGACACCTCGAGTGCTAAATTTTCCATAATCTTCGTGTAGGAAGGACCTAAGTCAGTATTCTACTTGTTTAGATCCCGATTCTCATCTATTGTACTCTGTAAGTGAGCTACACTTACTCTGCACCTGTGTAATTTATAATTATAGTTGTAAGTCGTTACTAGGATCTTATAATTAAGAATTATAAATGATTTGAAGTTGTTATGTTGATTGATCAACTATGGGAAAGATGTCTAGAATGGTCACGTCGGCTTGGTTATTGGATTTAAGAAAGACTATATGTTGAAATGATCCTGTCTCCCGACTGTCCTATCTAGTTGATCCTTACTTGATTGATCTTAAAGTAGACTTTGGAATTGTTGAGGAATCTAAATTCTTAAGATAATAGTTCCACGTAGTATGAAACTAGACTAAGACGTAGCATTATGTACATCTAGGTCTTTCAAGAAAGGTGTAAGGCGAAGCTCTGCATAATTCATCAATCACCAGACACTTTGTCATTTGAGTGCATAGTTATTATCAAGAACATAATCTTAACATAAAAATATCCATATGAGAAATGTTGCTTGTATTATCTGTTTTATGTGTTATTTATAAAGATAAGATAGTAACATTTGGATTAAAAATTATTGTAGAAATCAATTCCCTTTAGATATCAGTCTGTTTTATGTGTTATTTATAAAGATTGCTTAGTGTCGAATAGGCTTGACATCGATTAGGTCTCATAGTTGGGTTAGAGTGTAAGAGCAGATCAGAGTGTAATCCTCCCCGTCTTGGGATGACCAGAAATGGTGGGTCCCAATCCGACAACCAAACGGTATGTCTGTCATCGACGAAAGTAGATGACCAAAACTTGGTTGTTCTATGTGGTCTTGTGAATTACGTTGCTAGCATGGCTTTATAACACATTAACCTAGATGGAATGGAAATCCATATTCATAAAAATCTCTAAACATTGGTTACCTTATATGACTTACATTAGCCATGGACTCCCCTAGCAGGTGTAGTCAAACAATTGTTTAGACAGTGCATCTAATAAGGTGATTCTTACAGATGGTTGTCAAATTAGGATCTATGAGGATCGGTTGGGATCGGGTAGATGGTCTTAGGACATGTTATATATTTACACCTGATATATGTCTTGCAGGAATGATATTTTATCATTAAAATGTTATTGGCTTGAAAACCCTACGTATCTCACAAGGTTTCCCAAACCTGACCAAAGTTGAAATTGCCTAGTTGCCTGGTTAGGATGCTGAGTGGAATAAAGGATAAGTTTGCATTAGTTATTTGAAGACATTTTTATTTACGTTGTAATGTATGTTCGAATATAAACGAATGACATCCCGAAGGTTTTGATAAAATAACTTTTGTTATTTCAAAAATGTTTATTTAACTGTGAACTTCCGTATTTCAATACTTAAAAGCGTAAATAAAATTTCAAATTTGTTACGAAAATGGGAGGATGTCACAAAGACGCATATATTACATATGTTTATTTAAAAGAAAAAATTAAATATAAAATTCTAAACATTTGAAAAGTTTGAATTTACAAGAAAAATAAGAAAAACATTAAAATATTAAAATTTAAGTGTTTTTTTCTTTTAAATTTAATCAAATAATTTAGATAAATAAACAAAAGAAACTAATGAAACTTTAATATAAAAAATTTAAAATTAAAAAGAAAGTTAATTAATAAAACTGATATGCATTTATTATTATATTTAAATATTATGTAAAATTTAATAAAATGAAAAAAAAATAACATGTAAAAAAAGAAACTAATTTAAAATTATAAAAAAATAACATGAAACAAAATAAATAAGGACATATGGACATGTAACAAAAAATATTCTTTATTTATATATATATTTTTTTTTAATCGTACTAGATTAATGATTGCAATAAAGAATTAAAAGAGGCCGAAAGATTAAAGACCAAGTGTAAAAGAGAAGAATTTGAAGGATCGAAGATAATGTCCAGTTTGAGCACGACGTGGAATGAAAGCGTTTATAAAAAGCCCGATCCTATTTATAGAAAATCCGACCCAACGGGTCCATTTTGTTATTATTGATTAAAAAAAAAAACCCACCACATTTGATACAAAAGCATACTCGACAATAACTTTCTAATAAATTATTAATTAGACAACAGCCACATCCCCCATAGCCTTGATGTTCTCAACCAGATTCCCCTGTTCAATCAGCACCCTCCCTGCAACCAAAGCCGAATTCTCAAGTGCAGATCGTACCACCTTCGCCGGATCAATAACTCCCGCCTCCACCAAATTCTCATACTTATCAGTCACCGCATTATACCCAATCTCCCATTCACCTTCCTTCACCTTCTCAACAGCCACCTCACCATCTACTCCGGCGTTCTGTGCAATCAAAGATGCTGGTGCCACAATCGCCTTTCGAATAATATCAGCACCTTCACGTTCATCTGCATTATCAAGCTTTTCCTTGATTCCAGGAACTAATGTTGATAGATGCACAAATGCAGCACCGCCTCCAGGGACTATTCCTTCTTTTATTGCCGCAATCGTTGCGTTTTTCGCATCCTCATAACTAGCTAATTCTGTTTCGCTTTCAACACTCAATTTTATGATAGCGACCTTGCGGGATAAATTCGCGATTCGTTTTGCAAGTTCTTCAGAATCCTGGACCGAATCTGTTTCAGATAATTCTTTCTTGATTTGAGAAACTCTTGCCTCGATCTCAGATTTAAACGCAGGATCAGCTTCGATGGTGGTTGAGTCTTTGGTGATCGTGACCTTTTGAGCCTTTCCAAGTTGCTCAACTGATATGTTTTTTAGAACGAAACCTGAATCGCTCGATAGGTAGGTAGCTCCTAAATAAATTCAAGACAAAACTAACATTAGCAAACATATAAGTTATTGAATGATATGAAGAAATATAGTTAGTAATTATGTCTGTTATTATACCTGTCATGATGGCGATGTCTTGAAGGAGTGCTTTTCTTGTTTCACCAACACCAGGTGCTTTAATGGCAGCCACATTCAGGATCCCTCGTATTTTGTTTACAACAAGAGTTGACAAAGCTTCACCAGTGACGTCTTGTGCAATAATCAACAAAGGAGCGTTTAACCCTGTTGCTTTTGTTATCAATGGGATTATGTCATTGTCTTTTATTGAGTCTAGATGTTGGTCTATGACCAACACCCTGGCGTTCTGGAATTCGACTGTTAATTCCTCAGAGTTTGTCACAAAGTATGGGGAGAGGAATCCACTTTCAATCTACAAAATATCGAAGTTGTTAAATTGCAAGATATAGTAGCTTTTAACTTTTAATACATAGATTATATATACATACCAGCATTCCTTCTTCAACATCAATAGTTGTCTCAAAGGAGGATGATGGTTGGATGGACAAGTCACCATCTAGTCCAACCTTGTCCATCGCATCAGCAATGGTGCTTCCAATCACATCATTTCCAGCAGAAATCGAGGCAATGGCTTAATTTGTTAAATAAATTAACATTGAGTCACTACTTATGAAAAGAAAAACAAAAGAGAAGAGAATCTATATTAAACTTGACTGACTACCTTTGATATCATCATGACCTTTAACAGGTGTGGCTTTCTTTTGCAGCTCCTGAACGAGAGCAGCTACAGTTTTGTCGATGCCTTTTTTTACTGAATCGGCATTAGCACCAGATGTTACACTTGCGAGACCGAGTTGGATTATTTCACGTGTAATAACTGATGCCGTTGCTGTCCCATCTCCAGCTGACTCCTTCGTTTTGCTTGCAACCTATCATCGTCAAAATTCAAACAAAACAAACCGATTCAAGTTAATTTAATTAATTTCTAAAATAGAATAAAAAAAACCGAAGCCTAAACCTCTCTGATAAAATCAGCGCCTGCGTTTTCAAAGGCATCAGGTAGCTCAATAGATCCGCCAATGGAAAAGCCATCCTTAACACCTTCGCCAATTACAATATCCCGTCCTATATAGTAACAATAACAATGGAAAGTATTATTAATTAGCTCGATAAATTAATGAATGATATAATTAAGTGAGTGATACGTACCTTTAGGGCCAAGAGTATTACCAACAGCATTTGCAAGTGTATTGAGACCCGCCCCTATAGCCCTCCTGGCACCATCATCAAGGATAATGTCTTTACCCCCGGCTGCGCGAACCACCAACCCACGGCGATGATGTGATTGCCTCATCTTCTGAGCAGTTTGGAATTGAGTAACGCGTCCGTTACCATTTCTCTGCTGCAACAAAATTCGACACACACATAAGGAAAATCAGATATAGGTTTGACTCGAGTTTGTAAAGCAACATCCCTTATATACCTGTTTAGGGGAACAGATGAAAGAAGCTGTAGAAATTGCATTAGCAGATGCCATTCAGAGATGCTTTCACGAAGGTAGATAAGCGTGAGGTTTTGGGTTAATGGTGTTGTAACAAATCCCCCAAGGGTTGCTATCGCGGAGTGCATGAGAAGGCGCTGCACCCCATATCCTTATATCCATATTTATTGAGTTGTTGACTTTTTGCTAGGGTTTTAATATGGAGTGAAAAGACGCTGAAGATTCGACGATCTCCATATCCAGATCTCATGGGATCTCACATTGTGTAGATTGACAATTTGCGATTATAGTATTGGGTTATTAACATGGTTTTAAGATGAGTGAGAAGCTTCACAGGATTCGATGATCCCCGTTCCATATCCATAACTCCCCATTTTCCATATCCATATCTCCCCATTCTATATTTATCTCATAACTCAGATCCCAACTCCCGATCTGGCTCCCATCTGTGTAGAATTGGCAATTTGTCATTATATTATTGGGTTTGTTGCCATTTTAAGATGGAGTGAGAAGATTCTTCTCAAGGGCGAATTTAGTTAGGTACAACGTGTCCATGCATGCCGATAATTAGTTTTGAGAATTTTTTAAGAGGTTATGTAAAAGAAATTAAATGGACGTCCTTTGTTAGTCGGCTTGGACATCAAAATGACTAGATCTAGTATTAGCACAAAAAAAATGAAATTATTGTAGAACTAAAAATGTAATTTTACTTCTTATATTTGTAAAAGAAAAAAAAGTACAATTTTATATATATGATTAGGTTCAAGTGAGACGATCTAATTTTGTGAGACCGTGAGACGTATTTTTTTATTTTTTTTATTCTTTTTTAGTTATTTCAAGTTCCGAAAATAATATTTAAAAAAAGAATTTTTGGATTTTTCCATTTATTTTGCATTTTAAAATTATTTTTTAGAATATATCACTGTAATATTCTATTAGAATATTTCACGTATTTTTCAAAAAACGGAATTTTTTTTAATTTTTTTTAGTTAATTCAAATTCCGAAAATAATATTTAAAAAAATAATTTTTGGATTTTCCCATTTATTTTTCATTTTAAAATTATTTTTAGATTTGGTCTCACGGACTCACAAAATTAGAATTGTCTCAAATGAATCTGAACCAATATATATATATATATATATATATATATATATATATATATATATATATATATATATATATATATATATATAGAGAGAGAGAGAGACAGAGAGAGAAAGAGGTTGTTTAGAATCGGCTTAGTTTGAGCTTCCATCTCCGGTTTGCCAGTTCGTCAAGAACTAGATATTTTCCCCTACGCGGCTTCACCCTTCTTTGTGTAGCAGCTAGCATTGAGGTTACACTCGTCAGCATGCCCTCACTTGGTAGCTTCAATCCAACCATCTAACACATGATGAAAAAAAAAATTTGATTAGCAAGAATTTTATAGAAAACAAGCTAGCAAGAAACTAAAATTACATGAGTTTAATACATTCTCATGAAAGGTTAAGACACCAATCGACCCAGTTAAAGAAATAATATTTTCTAGATCGGTATTTAATCCATTCGAAGGCCAACATCTTCAACTCACTATCCAACATACGACAACTCTTACCATTGCCATTAAATATTTTATCACACCTATAAGCACAGATAATCCAATCAAAAGCAGAAAGGACATCCGAAATAACCTTGCTTACGCACCTAGGGGTACCAGAACTGGACACACAACCGAAGAGGTCATGGAGAGAGCTGCTATCCACCGGAACCTGATTCCACCCATTAATGATGGCAACACACACCTCCCTAGCGACTAAACAATTCAGAAAGAGATGAGACTCTGTCTCTAACAAAATGTTGCAAAAGGGACATAAATGTGAGCTGATAGATACCCTAATTTTCTCAAGATTATTATGAGAAGGCAGTCTTTGAAGAATAGATTTCCATATAAATATATTAACTTTACCAGGCAAGATTTTGTTCCAATGAGTATTGTCCTCAAGGCATATCAAAAGATGGTTATCAATAGTTTTCCTACACGACGCCATAGTAAAACATCCTTCATTGTCTTCAATCCACTTCCATTTGTTATCCTGAAAAACAAAATAAACCATTAATGTCGACCTAATTACGCATCAAGTACAAGTGAAGATGGCTAATGATACCCCAAGTCCCTCCTCTTCTAGCAACAACCCTGGTGCGACCAATCCCACCATCAATCTCATGTAATGATATAATAACATCGCGTCATATTCCTCTATTATCATTTCTCACCCGCCACCACCACTTGGAAAGTAAGGCATAGTTAAACGCTCTGAGACTACTAATGCCTAAGCCACCATTGTCCCTCGAGTTAAGAGCTTTCTTCCAGGCAACCCAAGGAATTTTATTTTTATCGGAAGAACCACCAAAAAAAAACTACACTTGATACTCTCAAGACGATTAATAACACTAATTGGGGCTTTAAAAAGCAAGAACAAGTATGAATCCATGGTACCAAGAACCACTTTGCAAAGAACAAGCCTACCCCCAAAGGAAAGATAGCTTTCCAATATGAGAGCTTATTATTAAATTTATCAATTAAGGACATCCAATTTGATTTTCGGCTCATACTAGATCCAACCAGAGTCCCAAGTTAGATGAAAGGAAACTCACCAACGCTACAATTTAACCAACTTGCCATATCATCAATTTAAGTGTTACTAACACCAATCCCATAAACCTTGCTTTTTGAAATATTAACTTTAAGGCCAGAGGAAAGATAAAAACACCTGAGAATCCTCAAAAGATTAGAAGCATTCTCCTTTGACCACTCTCCCAAAAAAATAGCACCATCATCATATTGAAAAGGAGAGATGGTGGGTCCACTATTTGGAAAATTTGCCTCTTTATATATTCCTTTTTCCATGGCCACTGATATAACAATCTTATAGCTTCGGCAACAATGATAAACAGGAAAGAGGATAAAGGATCTCCTTGTCTAACTCCCTATGAAGCTTGAACTCCTTAGTAGCGTTACCATTAACAATGACATAAACTTTAGCCGAGTTTAAATATGCAAAAATCCATTTAATCCACCTATTATCAAACCCCATGAGATGAAGAATGTTGTCTAAAAACTCCCAACTAATGTTGTCAAAAGCCTTATCAAAATCAACTTTGAAGATAAACATTTTTTCCTCTTTCTAGCCCAAGTGATGACCTCATTAACGATAAGTGGACCATCAAGAATGCTCCTATCTTGAACATAAGTCGATTGCTCTTGACTGATGACAATGCTGATAACATTCTTAATCCGATCAGCAAGAACTTTAGAGATAATTTTATAAATGGAACCGATAAGGTTTATAGGCCTATAATCACCAATACTAAGGGGCTATTTAACTTTCGACACCAATGTAATGAAGGAGGCGTTGCTTCTAGGATTGATAATAGCATGCTCCTCAAAATATTTCACACCTTCAAAAATGTTTGGACTAATAACATTCCAGAACTTTTTTATAAAAGCAAAGTGAATGCGTCAGGACCCAAAGCTTTTTCATTACCACAATTCTAAAGTGTAAGTTTAACCTCTTCCATTGAAAAAAAACGGACAAGAAAATCGTTATGGTCATCCGATAAGCTACTAAATTTATTACTATGAAACACATGTTTGTTATGAATCGGATCTTCGAACTTCTTCTTGAAGAAGACAAAGATTTCATTTTTTATCAAATTCGGGTTTGTAACCCAAGACCCATTAATCTTCAAGCCATTTATACGAGACCCCTTGAGATTAGCGTTGATAATGTCGTGAAAAAAACTTGAGTTTTCATCACCATCAATTAACCACTTGCATCTTGATTTTTGTTTGAGATTGTAAATTCGCAAAGTTTCAATCTCTTGTATTTTAGCAATACTATCCTCACGCTCCTTTAAGGCATTCTCATCAACAATCCCTGCTTCAATCAGTACATCAATAGCTACAACACGTTTTTTAAGATGATCAACCTCAATTTCGTTTTTCTCTATTTTTTCAGCCTTCCACTTATTCAATTCAGCTTTTACTAATCTTAGATTTCGAGAAAGTCTCTCAATCTTAGAAAAAACATTAAGACCATCACCATTTTGAGCCTACACTCTAGAGACGATATTCTCCAACTTCGGTTCTAATAACCACGAGTTAAAGAATCTAAATGGGGAAAGACCAAAGTCTTGACAGTTGGTATCAAGAAGCAAAGGGCAATGATCAGAGTGAACTTTGGGTAAAGCGATAACACTTGACTTAGGCCACATAGCATCAAATATATTAGAGATTAAGAACATATCTAATTTGATTAGTTTAGACCCATCCTTTTTCATCCAAGTAAATCTTCTACCACCAATGTTGATATCCAACAAACCCACCGAGTCTATAAACTTATTGAATAACATTGCACCTTTTTTTTAAACTGACCCCATTCTCTCATTAGAAGTTCTAACCTCATTGAAGTCACCACAACAAAGTCAAGATCTGTCATTATCGGCCTCAATCAAGTTAGCAATCTCATTCCACAAATCAGCCTTATTGTGATAGTATTGGAAGGCATATATATTTACAAAGCCACGTTTTACATCACGAGGTTTCCAAACACCAGTCACAACAATGAAGTTTTTCTTAATAGTTATTGAATCCACATCCAATAATCTAGGGTCCCAAATGGAAACGAGACCACCGGATCTCCCAATCGGATCAGTAATAGCATAATTACAAGGACGGTTACCCCAAGCACTACAAATAAGACCTTCTCTAACCACCTCCACCCTAGATTTTTGAATACACAAAAATGTGACCCTGTTTGTAGAAACCATATCCTTTATCCATGACCTTTTGTATTCTTTCCCCAACCCATTAATATTGATCGACGGAGCTCTTAACATTGAGGTTTTTTACCACCTATAGCTAAAATAATTTCATTGATCCTCTGCTCATTACCATTCATGTTGAACCAAATAGAATTCCCAATGAGTATAGTGCTCTGCACTTCATTTGTCTCATCGGATGAGCAGGTATCCATCTTGGATTAGATGTCTAAGCCCATAACTATTATTGGTATGTACTCGACCCGAGAGTAGCATGGTCCATTTGGGTTGCATAACACCAGGACAATTTGTTAGGATGGACTCTTGAGAGAAGGTTAAATATGATTTATTAATATATTATAATTTCTAATATATTAATATAAAATCATATGTTTTAATTAGTATTGATCAAGAATTAATTTTGAATTAATTTAGTGATCAAAAGAGACTAATTAAATCTATGAGGACTAATTATGGTAATTAGTTATATTTATATGTGTAGGGCTTATGATCCATGTTGGACCAAGTTTATGCATGGACACATAAAGAGTTGGGCCACATGAACTGTGGATCATAATACTCATGGGTATGGATTTGGGTTATACGTGGAAAATCTCTCTCAAGAGCCACCTTTATCCTAGGTGATTTGTGAGCCATTTGAGCCATTCATACTTTTGGTGCTAAGCTTTTAAGGCCAAATAAAACAAGGTTTTAAGCTACATAAAAGGTATGTCACCCTAACTAGTATTTTATATTGTTTATGTCAATTGCATGCTAGTTATAGACTTAATGATTTGGAAATACCATTACATGTATAGTTAGAGAAAACATAGATCCAAGGCATTTAGGGTTGTATGTGCACCATAGGATGGTGTGGTATACAAAACCCAACATTGGTATCAGAGTCATCGGTTGTTTTCCTATTATATTTGATGTTTTTATTGGTTTTCAAAGCAAAAAAATCAAATTTTCTGCACTCTGACAGCAGAATTCGCCGAGTTCAGTGCTTAACTCGCCGAGTCACATGTTTTTAGCCTTGGACTTACCGAGTTGGATGAGTGACTCGCCGAGTCCACTCACATATTTGACCAACTCGACGAGTCAGCTCATGTACTCGACAAGTTTGGCTGTCCTGGATGCAGATTTTCGAGTTTTTTGGCCTATTTTGGATTTGAATCATTACCACAAAGTGTTTTTGTTTATAAAATTTGATTTTGATGTTATGGTAATGTTTATTCTCATCCAAATAAAGGATAATTTTCAAAGTTTTAAGATTTGTGTTAATTCATTTGATTAGCTAAGTTCTTGAAAATTGTTGTAATGAATTATCTTTGCTTATGAGTTTGATCTTGTTCATAGAAAAATTACTTGATTATTGTATTAATTGGTAATTTGATATTAATGGTTTTTATGAACTCCATAACTTGTCCTCAAGTTATGGAAAATGAAGAGTTTTTCATTTAAAATCACATTAAGTCTCATAGGTTATGAAAATGAAAGAGTCTCTATTTTTAGTGTCATCATAAAATGTTTTATATCTTCTATAACTTGTCTTCAAGTTATGAAATTTGAAAAGTCTTCCATAAAAAACATATTAAACTCATAAGTTATAAAAAACAAAAGTTTTTGAATTGTTCAAAACTTACCCTCGAGTTTTGGAATTTGTAAAGTTTCCTCCATGAATACTTTAATTCCAAATTAAACCCTAGAATTTTAAAGTTTAAAATTCTACCCTTATACTATTATAATATTATAGGTTTAATATTTATATATATGTATAAGAACAAAGTCAGTCTTACTGTTAGTAGGCTTCCTTCATGAAGCCGGTCTATAAGGGGGTATAAGGTTACTGCCTATAAAATGGCAATTTAATGGGTGTCCACTTTCACCCACCACTTCTTTGACTGGTGGAGGGTCGTTAGCTAAACGGGTAGGATAAGACTCTGATTATCCCTTTATTAAAAGTATAATGATAAACATAAAGTAAATAAACTTTATTAAATTCTCAATCTTAGTTACTTTAGGAAAATGTGAATATGGTGCTAACCCATAAAATTGCACTTTGCACCTTGTTAAGTCGTTAGTGGAGCGTGTGTGGTTAACTGTCACACTAATCCAGGACTAAAAATGTGTGGCAAAGGGTAGCTTGGTGTTAATCATAGATCAATGGAGCGTGTGTGGTTAACCGGCACATTGATTAGGTGGTTGTAACTGATGGGTTTTGGTCATAAGACATCCTATGTGCTCATACAAACCCTAACGCTTGGATCTAGGTTTCTCTATTGTACATGCTTTGAATCCAAGACTATAAACCCTAATTCTAGCATACAAGTAATCATATTAATATGTAATTACGTTTAATATCATACCTTGATTGTTATGTAGCAATAACAATCCCAATTCC